TGATCAGCTTTTGCTCTGCTCATTAGAGGGTAGTCTGTCCATAGTTGTTTCCTTTCCTTCGTTCTTAACAAGCACGCGACAACGAGTCCAGCTCCGCCCTCCCCTCCCCTCATCCCGCCCTCTCCTCACCCCGGCCTCTTCTCGTCCTTTGTTACACTTTTTGTAGGTGGCATGGAGTAATCGAAACGTTATTTAGCTTTATTATCCGTTATTTTTCTTCTAAAATTTACCAGAACCTCACCCGGCCCAAATACGAGGCAAAATTTTTGCCTCCTATAAATCCCAAAATTCCTCTCCGCTCCCCCCTTGCCATGAATTTTACTCAATCCCTACAGGGTTAGTCTGTCCATAGAGCCTCTATTTTGTCTGGAGTTCGTCGAGATTGCAAGCAAAATATTAACTGCAGGAGATTTGGAAAAGCCCGAACGCAAGGAGTGGCCCTGGGGAAGGACAAAATTAGAACTACACTTGTTTACCAACCCATTCGTAACAGCTGATAACCTAAACATTTCAAACAAGACTGTCGTGAAAACAGTTTTTTATCTATTTCATAAGTGGATGACAAAGAATCTATTAAAATCCAAGGGGTCTCTTTCACAGTGAAAAATAAATCGTACTGAAGAAGAGCAGACAGTATGAGGACTATTTTCTCGCAAAAATCAGAGATTGAGTACAGAGCGAGGGATTAAAACTCACATCTAAGCCATCATTGGAACGGAAAGTCCAACTTTCCTTGGTCAAGGCAGCTTGCTTATCCCAAAATATTAGGGCAATGTTTTCTTAAAAAGCCCAGTGTTAGATTATCTCCATTCTCTCCCCTCCCCTCCCATAACACATTTCACTCTTAGCTACCCTCCAACTACAACCCACGAGCACAACTAAGCACAACAAAACACAACTAAGTACAACTGTGTCCTCAGTTAGTGCTGTTGGCGCTAGAACAACCAGACACTTTAATAAATGATATGCATGTATGAGTGTATGTATGTCTGCAACAGAAACCCATGAGCTACTGTATGAGGGGTACAGAAGGTTCTCAACTTTCCACTTGCCAAACTTGCTGTTCCTTTTACTCCCAGTTCCCAATCTTGCCTCCCTTCTGTAACTTAATATGCTTTTACCAAGTGGGATACATGGGGTGGCTATAACAATTGTGGGCCTCAGAAACTTTTGAATCCATCTCAGAAACTCAGAATCCTTTGTGATGAGTCCTGCAAGTCTGTTTTTGTGTTTCATTGAGCACAGATCCAAGTCACAAACCTGGAGTTTCAAAACAGGACTTGCCAACACATTTTGAATTTTAACATATGCCACCCCTGTTATTTATTCTTAAATATTACTGACACAACATTACAAACATATAATTTATTTCTGACCCACTGGTGAAATAAATTCAGCCCTCCCCCCACACACAGAGAGAGACATTGAAACTCAGTACGACTTATAATTGGACAAATTGCCATAGACCATCAAATAAGCAATCTTACCTGGCAGGTTTTACCCCCAGTATTTCATTTGCCAATTCACCTATTTATCAATCTGGGAGGTGTAAAGCAGCGCAGGACTTAAGTGCTGACTGTCCATGACCACCAGTGAGTGTCCAACTGAGACACCTTTGAGCTAGAAGAAAAGTACATTTAATAAGTACCTGTTTGGGATAACAACCAAATGTAATATCATGATAGAAATAAAAGCTAGTCTGACCCCTAGGTTTTGACTGAATATAAGATGTCAGCTTCTCTTATCGTCAGTTTCTGAAGCAATAGAATACTGCAGTGGTGTTTCTAACCCCACTGACAGTTTACAGTAGCCCTTTTAGCCAGCTGCAGCATGACTGACAGTTTTCACCACCCATTGATATGGTACGAATAAATACATACAAGTCAGGAACACATGATCAACTGGGAGGAAGAGGATTCAAATCCCATCAGGGACTCAGTGTTTTCAGCTTCCCACACTTGCGACATAATGAACACTTCATATCTTTTGCGCAATATATGACACAAAATTAAAACTATCACCTCAGTGGAACCCCGCCAGGGTACAGACAGCTATTTTACAAAGGTAAACGTTGTGTGTTTCTACACCATGCTTGCAGGATGTTTTCTAACAAGTAAGTCTGAGAATTGTGAAAATTGTCCCACTCTAACTGATAAAAACTCTTAAAAGTGCTTTTAAAACCCTCTATAACTCTTCCACTTACATGTATAACAATTTGAGCACATCTGATCAGTTTCAAAAAGTTAGATTCTACTACTAAAAACAGTTAATCAATCATTTAGTTGTTTATTTGTAATAGTGTAATAATGGACTGAGTAGAGTGCAATTCAGGAAGTAATGGGGTGAATAATTTCAAAATCAGATGAGCATGTAACACAAGGCCCATTTGAAATTACAAGCATAATTACTCTCTGAATTGTACGACACAAGGTCCAATTACTAATTGATCATAAAAAGAACAAAATTCTGAAATTAAAGTCTTTTGAGAACTTCTTTTGATTGAAAAAGTGACAAGCGCCTTCCATAACTGTAGGAAATATTGAAAAAAAAGCCATTTAAGTGTGCACAATTGATGTACGAATGGCGAAGGTATCCAATTACAGGTATCCAATTACAATTGTTGAAATAGATCTGTTTTCGCCTACATGCAATAAAAAAATAGATCGAAAACCATTCAGTGGATAAAGTCAAGAAATTGTAATCTTTAAGGAAAATGAATAGAAAAGACACTTCTTCAAGTTTTAGGTTTGCGCATTTTCCCAGACTGCAGATATTTGTCGAGATGTTTCACAGAAATTTACAGAGCCCAGTATGGAAACGCCATGTTGGTGCACCTCTGTGGTGCACCAATATGGCGGCCAAAAAAATAGTGTAAACATCTGGAACTTACTTTGGCTATCTAGGTGACTCATTATCTGTACTGAACAAACAAACATTTTCCTAACGATCTAATTAGTTCTAAAAAAGCTAAAAATCATGAGATAGGTATATATTTTTCAACAAATGCAATTGTAGCTTTGTGTCACGCATTGGCATAACTCTGAAATACGAAATACACTGGTTTTCAAATGAAGCACACTATTGAGCTGTAACATTGAAAACAGATATAAATTTACCCCCTCTTTAATGCCAGATGGGGATAGAAACTTTGGCGGCTCTTTAGTTTTCAATTTTAGAAAATGATGGCATCACATGAAAATGATCTATTGGATACCTGTAATTGAATATCTTTGCCATTTGTAGGTTGATTACGTGACAAATAGCTGTGCAGAGAACCAATCACGATTGAGAATTTTGTTATAGATACAATTAGCAATAATATCAAATATCATAATAATTTTGGTCTAAATATACTCACATTGTTCTTTAATTTTCCTTTGCTGTTCAACCAGAGACTGCAGCTTCTAAAACTCTTTCCAGGTGTCAAGTTCAGCCTTTATCCTTTCAATAACACTATGGAACAAGATCTCCATGTGAGAATTTCTACAGATTTTTGACTTTATTCAAACTGTCAAAATATGGGATAAGCTGCAGTTAATACAATACAATACAATACAATGCAATACAATACAATACAATGCGTGGAGCACCTGACCCATATCTGAGAGGTCCTGGATTTGATTCCCGTCAGGGAGTCAGTGTTTTTCTTCATCCCATATATACTCATGACATATTAAACATTTTATCTTTCACATACCGGTAGTATGTACATTATCAACTAAAACACAAGCTCATAAGTTATACCTGGTTCTTTCTTTCTCTGCATAATGTGAATAGACAACATTTCACTGTCCATGT